CTTAAATCGGCTAAGTATTTAGGAATGAAAACAATTGTTACCGGCCTCCGATAGTCTGGTATGGAGCAGGTGTTGAAGGAAATGTTTGGGAATGATTTTATTATTCCAGTAAGAAAATTGGCTCCAAATCTCAAACACCAACTTCAGCTGTTTAGAACCCCTCACTATTAAACAAGAGGATTGTTGAATCTGTTTGCCACCCCCACCCCCCGTTCNCACCCGTTTATCTCCACCCCTACCCCCTCTCGTGACCGTTGTCCCTGTCCCTGATATGGTCTGACTCACTGACCACTGACCCACGTCCACATGTGCGCTCTGACGTTTGTTCAACTGACTTTTGGTCGCTTAGTTTGCACTTTGGTTCTTGATTCACAATGTTCAGTTAGCCGGTTCAGGCATAAACCCTGGGGACTCCACGATTTGAGGTGTGTTCTTTATGCAATTGCAACGGTTTAAATTTACAGTACCGCATTGTTATTCGCTATTGTTTGGAGTCGAATAAACCTCAAAACATTCGGACTTGGCTTCTGCGGTTGCGCGTCATTCAGCGTCAGCCTAGATATTTTTACGAACTGAACAATGATATTCTGAAGGAGTTGCTGGTTCTAAAACCCAGTAAATCAATCGATCCCGACAGATCGGCGGTTACCATCCTCACCCACTTTCGCCGGTGCTCACAGCTCTGTTTAACCAATGTTTGAAAAACGGAGTTACACCTGATTGTAGGAAATCTGCCACCATTACCCCAGTGCCTAAAAGGTGAATCTTAAAATTCCATGCAGGCCCATGTATGTCTGTTGTGTTGAAACTTTCCGAGAGGTTACTCCTTCAAGGAATGTCATCTCGGTGAATGTGCAGGACCCTAACCTATTGGCATTCCACCGCTGTCGGTCCATACTAGATACCCCAGCTTCTCTGGTCCAGCATATTCTATCAGCACTCGGTGGAAATAAGAAAGCTGTCAGAATATGTTTCTTGAATTACAGCGACTCTTCCAATTGTGCTGTCAGGTACTCACAAACTATTTAATAAATCAATCACAGTTCAAACGTTAACTTGATCGTTCCTCCTCTTCCCTAAGTTCCACACTGGGCGTACTACACGTTGCAACTTATATTTCATCCATGTCTACGTTTCAAAATCCCATGCTCAGTAAGTATGCAGACGATGTTGTGGTCGGAATTGCCCGCTTTGGTGCACATGTTAGCTCCACCCTTTAATTCGGCCTTTTTCACCTTGTTGAGTGGTCTACTGCGCATAACTTGGCTCTCAATCCCCCTAAATGCGTAGACATGTTGTTCTCACTTCCAACAGGAAATCTTTATGAAAATCTCTTTGATTCCTGTCCCACGATAGACGTACGTGATGATACCACTATCCAACCAGTAAATGTTAGGTATCTCGGTGTGTTATTCAGCCGCAATTTATATTGGTCTGATCAAGTTATTTCTGTATTTGGAAAGGTTAGAGAGTTATGATTTTATGCCCTACACCTGAAAGCCTGATCCATTGCTAGCTTCGTGATCCGCCGTTTGTTTCCCTTGTATTTCGCCCCTTTTGCTTCATGGGTCCCTGTAATCCTCCCCGGGATGATCAGGAAGTAGTTTGAGTTGCTTCCAAGATCTGTACCATATTATCTAGAAGTGGCATGATTCCCCCAGAAACTCTCTATCACTTCGTCATTTCACAACATACAAATTGTCTTTTGTTATCCACAAAAATCACAAACAACGATTGACATCCGTTACACCAGGATCTCATCAAGAGTGTGTCC